ACAAGAATACCGTACATCTAGTAAACACTCGAGCAGTCACGAACCTTCGAGAATATCATGACGTGTTACTAGCGTCATGTGACTACCGCTGTCGTAACAATAGTATTGGCTGTTGTATACCCATGTAACTACTTTGCAGGGTGTTGATGGATGTTCACCAAAATTGGTATGGAGATTCATTAGGTCCATGAGGGGGTACATACAACTTTTTCAGTTTTGCATTTGCGTTTTGAGGTTTTTATGAGCGTTTTTGCTTTTTTTACCACATCTTCACCCCCCCTGTTGATAGTCGTTCACCAAATGTGCCATGAAGGTTTTTTGGGTCCATGCGGAGACACTTGGAAACTTGCGGTTTCACATTTTGTGTTTTGCATTTTTTATGGGCGTTTTTTATAATTACATATAAGGGAAGGAACTTTTCATGTCTTAAGATAACCTCTCATTAATCATGAATTTACATAACTTCCGTCCAGGGGGCAGGTACTCCAGCTAGTTTAGTAATAATGAACTTGTTACTTGAATAAGGAAGCACATTATGCTAATATATTGTTACGTCTCTGTATTCGTTTGTTAATTTTCCGTAGAAATTCTTTCCGAGAAACTTCAGCGATACAAGTCCTTTCTTAAACAAAACTAGTTTATTCTTTCTCAACTCAACTTTGCAATACACTTAATTTCCACAGTCATTGTAACTTAAACACACGCTAGAATTCACAACGATCCACGCACTTTACTTATGGTCACTACCGCGCTTGACTCAATTCTCCGTCCCTGTCTGTCTGCAATTCTATTCTTCGATTAATTAATTTCGCTTTATCTGGCGCACTTATATACAAGAATAGAGGGCGCGTAGAAAAGACCAGAGTTGCCACGAAACTAGCGTCACGTAACTTCCGTTGTCGTAACAATATTAATAGGTAAGCAAGCAACGATTTATAAGAATAAGGAATAATTTTATTAATGGTAGAACATACTATATGTTTCGACAGAACATTGGTTTGTCTTCTTCAGGTTTGATCAGTACTAAGCAATACGATATATATAAACCTTGTATACATTGTTATCATTGTGACTACATTCGAGTTTTAGAGTAAATGCAAGGACTGATTAAAATCTAGAGAAACAGCAGTTATCCGCTTACTTACATAACAAGCCATGTTGGTTAACTGTGCACAAAACACATTAAATTTTCTTGAATAATTATTTCAAGCTATTTATGAATCTCTGAAGTAAATAATATGAAGTTATTTAACATAATCCTTTTGTCATACCAATCACTAGGCAATTACAGTTTCGATTTTGGTTTTATAAAAATGTGATTCAGTATGTACTGTAATATTAAACAAATGGCACTGATATTTTAACTTTCTAGAACCAAATGGGTTTGTTGCACCTAAAAGCGTGTGATAGTTTTTCAAGATACATAAAGAGTGAGTCAGTACACCAAAGTATCCAAAAATAGTATAATTTGTTATTACTATATATATATATATAATTAAAAACAAAGTTCACTTACTTGAATGTTTGTCTTATATATTTTAAGACTAATATGCAAATTATTGAAGGATTGGTTTGAATTTCGAGCAAAGCTACACGAGGGCTATCTACACTAGCCGTCCCTAATTTAGCAGTGATAGACTTGAGGGAAAGCAATTAGACAACACCACCAACTCTTGTGTTACTCTTTTACCAACAAATAGTGGGATTTAGCGTCACTGTATAACGCCCCTACGGCTGAAAGGGCGAGCATGTTCCGTGAAGAGGATTCGAACTCGCGATTCTTAGATCGTGAGTCGAGCGCTCTAACCACAAGGCCCGTTTTCAAAGGTACCCGCAAGTATTCCGAAACATAATCATATCCGATAGTAAAATACTTCCGAATTATGCCTTCTTGCCAACATTTCTCCCAAACAACAATTTGTAGAAATTTTATACTTTAAAGCGAATCTATAATATTCTAAAAAGATGTGTCAAAGCAAATTTTCTTATCAGTAAAAATGGAGGATTTTTAATTTCATCTGTAAGCTTAGTATTTGGGTTAACTAATCATTATGTCAAATAACTCACGTTGTTTCAGTTATTGTCAGTGAACCATCATGTGAATATAGCATTATATACACAAAACTACAATGCTAATCTTTTCAGGACTCGTGTACTATCTGAATGACTCTTGGTCATTGACATTGAAACGTAAGGGAGGTTATACACTCAAGACATCAACTGACCTACCCAGGGTTTGCAGTCGGTACCGGTGCCAGCGGCACTCGGCGTCCAGTACTGATTTATAGTATATTATATTGTTACGCCTCCAGTCGTTAGTTAATTTTCCGCAAATTCTTTCCGACTGAACTTTAGCGACACAAGTCCTTTCTTAAATAAAACTGGTTTATTCTTTCCGAA